AAACTTTGATCTGAGATTGCTTGGTGAAAACAAGCCCTTTGCATCATCAGTGAAGACACCAATAATAAATCTGTTGAGCTTCCTCTTGCTTGCCTGCTGGGCAATGGATAACACAAGGACAGGTTTCATGGACAGAAGATATGCCACACGACCCCAGAAGAAATGGGAAGTTTGGGTGTGTGCGTTTGTCAAAAAATGATCCACACTGAGTGTCAAATATGCTCAACATGGAGGACATTTGCAATTCCTCCTGGACAGATGGGTGAAATGTAGGATATGTCCTAGAAAAGGAAGATGTCTAGTCACACTGTCAACTGTCCTGATTTGGCAGGGGCAGTCCAGATTAATTCTCTGTCATCCCACTTTTTTCAGCTGCTTTTCAAATGTCCCAGTTTCTCTCTTATCCTCCCACTTCCTGTCTTGGTCCTCAGCTGCTTCCATTGCTGTAAATGGAATTTAGTGTGCAAAAGTAGTTTGCAATCAAGTTCACCGAGTGTGGGGCAGTTGCGTCACTGGGGGTGCAGGGATGCGGACTGCACTGGGTGAAACCCCAGAGGGGAATGACACCTGGTTGCCCCCATCCCACCTCTCCTTGGGGCAGCTTGGTTTTCCTTGGGGGAACTAGGCTGCAGCAAGGAGCTGGGCCAAGCACATGTGTGCCCACTCCCCGCACCTTCTTGCCACAGAAAGTAGGAGCAGGGGGTGCATGTGCTCAGCCTGGCTCCTTGCCACAGTCCAGTTCTCCCCTGAGGAAAACTGAGCATCAGCAAGCAGCAAGGTGGGGGACATGCCACGGCAAGGAGCAGGGCCGAGCACACGCATGCCCCCCGCCCTTCCTTGCCATGGTTCAGTTTTTCTCAGGGGAGAGGCGGGCTCTGGCAAGCAGGGGCAGGGAGGCACGCATGGCCAGCCTGGCTCCTTGCCATGGCCCGGTTCTCCCATGGGAAACCAAGCCACAACAGGGAGGGGCAGGGTGCGCCCTTCTGGCCAGAAGCCCCACCCCTTCCAACCTGAAGCTCCACCCACACACTGGGGACGTTTTCACACAGGCGGCTCTAAAGCCGCCTGGAAGCCCCCTGGAAGCAATCAAGAGCCATTCCGGCGGCGAAAACAGCAGCCGCTGGAATGACTCCTGATTGCCTCCGGCAGCAGCCCCTGTAATTCCTTTTTAAAAAAGGAATTACAAAAACGGGGCTAAAGCCGGCTAGCGGCAGGGATGGCGCAGGGATTGCGCAAGATGGGGCGGGGCTTGCTGCGACGTCGTGTGAACACGCGCAGCAAGACCCCGGAGTGAGGCAGGGATGGCGCAGGGATGGCGCTGGATGGGGCGGGGCTTGCTGCGACGTCGTGTGAACTTATCCTGCACAGAGCCGGAGTGGGGCCGGACGGAGGTAGGAATGACTCCGTTTAAAGCCCCGTGTGAAAACGTCCTGGGTAACACCAAACCCCAGTATGCCACTGGGGTGGGGCCTCCAAATGTTGTCCTTCCCAGTGGGTTCAGGAAAAAGCAAATTGCTGCAGTCTCTCCTGGTTTGTGTGCTCTTTCTCATTAATAACTTTGGTAATCTTGACTGCATTCTGATGTTGGTTGGCCATAGATGCCCTGGTTTTCATCTGTGAAATGTTGGAGGACATGCATATTCAATTTGGTGGATGTGGGTGCCAACTTGTTCTTTGCTTTAGGCAAATGTCTGGGGCTGAAATCCAAGTCTGAGTTCAACAGAATTTTGTTTCCAAGTAATTTTGTAGAGGACTGTGAGAGAGGTAATAGATGAGATCTGAATCAAAGACTTTCTGAGTCATACAGCCTTAGCTGAATTGTACTTGCCCATATATCTGGGAGTAATGTCCTATTGAATTCAGCGGGGCTTATGCCTGAGTACACTTCTATACAATTACCTTGTTAGCCACCACAGAACATCAACAGACAGGTTTCAGAGGGCTAATGTACAGCTTCCCCCCCCCCCCCCCCCCGCAAAAGAACATAAGTAAGTTGTAGTTTTTCCTCACACTTCTGCCTGTAAAATGGAAAGAAAATTATTTTGCTTAGTGCCACTCAAATTTAGAACAGTTAGGATAAGACTTGAGTGTTAGCATGGACCTCAGAATGGCAAGGTGAGATCCATGGGGGCTCAAACACCACTTGACCACAATATCTAGCAAGACGCAAGTTGTTCCAATTCTATTTGATTTTTTAAAAATTAAAACAGCATCTAGAATTTGGCCTAGAAAGCTCTCCTAAAGCCAGGTTCAATGAGTTCAAAGCAGATGCGCCTGACAACAGATGAGTAGCTGTGTTCTAGCATTGTACTCAGAAGTGACCCTTTCAGAAGTCTTTTTGATTTGTCAGGTTGTGAAGTTACTAGTGCATACAGACAAGAAACAAGATCCTTAATTTGCTGACTGGTGTGCAGCTGGTGAACAAAAGTAAGCCGGTGAACAACAAAAGTATGCTCTTGGCAATAGTCACCAGTTGAAAATCCACATGGAAAGCAGAGCATTTTGAACCATTGTAGTGGTGGTGCAGAGACAAATCTCTCTGTCTGTTTCTCTGACTCTCACACACCCTTCCCCATCAATGGACCAAAGCCTCTCCATTTTGCCTATAATTAGCATCAGTTTATTCACTCTCATCTAGAATAATAGAGTAATAGAATCATGGAGTTGGAAGAGACCACAAGGGCCATCCTGTTCAACCCCCTCCCTGCCATACAGGAACACAGAATCAAAGCAACCCCAACAGATGACCATCCAATCTCTGTTTAAAAACCTTCAAAGAAAAAGTCTCCTCCACACTCTGAGAGAGTGTGTTCCACTGTCAAACAACTCATACAGTACCTTCAGGAAGTTCTTCTTAATGTTGAGGTGGAATCTCTTATCCTGTGGTTTGCATCCATTGTTCCAGGTCCTGGTCTCTGGAGCAGTAGAAAACAAGCTTGCTCCATCCTCAATATGGCACCCCTTCAAATATTTAAACATGGCTAACATGTCACCTCTTAGCATTCTCCTCCTCAGGCTAAACATACTCAGCTCCCTTGTCTCTCCTCATAA